GAGCTTGGGATTCTCTCTCCCTCTCTGCTTCTCTCTCTCTCTCTCTCTCTCTCTCTCTCAAAATAAATAAATAAACTTTCAATTTATATATATAAATGTTATATATATATATATATATAAAGATTATATATATATATATATATATATAGAGAGAGAGAGAGAGAGAGATTAAAAGGCACTACAATATGGTGAAAAGGACATTAGTACAAGACAAGGATGTTCCTTCTCACCACTTCTTTGCAACATCATACTGGTTACAATACCAATACAATAAGAAAGGAAAAGGTATGCAGATTAGGAAACAAGATATACAATTATTTTTCTTCCCAGATGATATGATTATCTATGAGGAACACCCAAAAAAATGAAGGAAAAACTCCTGGAACTATTAAGAGATTATAGCAAGATTGCAGAAGACAAGATCAATATACAAAAGTCAATTGCTTTCCTATATACCAACAACAAACAAGTAGGACTTAAATTAGAAACACAATATCATTTACACTAGCACCCAACACATGAAAACACTTAGGTATAAATCTGACATATATACTTATGAGGAAAACTCCAAGCTCTGATGAATAAAGCCAAAGAACAAAATAAATGGAGACAGATCCATGGATAGGAAGACTCAATATTGTCAAGGTGTCAACCCTTCCCAACTTGGTCTATGGATTCAACGTGATCTCAATCAAAAGCTCAGCAGGTTATTTTATGGATATCAACAACCTGATTCTAAGGTTTCTATGGAGAGCCAAAAGACCCAGAATGGCCAACACAATATGGAAGGAGAAGGACAAAGTTGGAGGACTGACACTACCCAATTTCAAGACTTACTATAAAGCTGTGGTAATTGAAACAGTGTGGTATTGGGAAAAGAACAGATAAATTATCAGTGGGACAGAATAGAGAGCCCAGAAATAGACCCACGTAAGTATAGCAAACTCAACTTTGGCAAAGTCACAAAGGGAATACAATGGAACAGAAACAGCCACATGCAAAAACAGGGGGTCTAGACACAGACTTTGCACCCCTCACCAAACTTAGCTCACAATGGATCATAGACTTAGATGCAAAACTATGAACTTCTAGAGGATAACGCAGGAAAAAACCTAGATGATCTTGGGTATGGTGATGACTTTTTAGGTACAACACAAGGGCACAATGCATGAAGGAAAGCATCGATAAGCTGGGCTTCACTAAAATTAAGATCTTCTGTTATGTGAAAGACAGAATCAAGAGAATGTGAAGACAAGCCTCATATTAGGAGAAAACATTTGCAAAAGACACGTCTGATAAAGGACTGTTATCTATCTATCTAACTATGTATCTACATATATATATACACACACACAAGTGATTCTTAAAACTCAAAATGAGGGGCGCCTGGGTGGCGCAGTCGGTTAAGCATCCGACTTCAGCCAGGTCACGATCTTGCGGTCCGTGAGTTCGAGCCCCGCGTCGGGCTCTGGGCTGATGGCTCGGAGCCTGGAGCCTGTTTCCGATTCTGTGTCTCCCTCTCTCTCTGCCCCTCCCCCGTTCATGCTCTGTCTCTCTCTGTCCCAAAAATAAATAAACGTTGAAAAAAAAATGTTAATTAAAAAAAACTCAAAATGAGAAAACTTTTAAAAGTGGGTCATTTTAACAGACAACTCAGCAAGGAAGACGTACAGATGACAAAAAACATGGGAAGAGATGCTCTACTTCTTAAGTCATCAGGGAAATGCAAATTAAAAAAAAAATGATACCACAGCAGACCTATTAGAATGGCCCAAATCCAAAACACCGACAAAACCAAATGCTGACAAGGATGTGAGGAAACAGGAACTCTCATTCATTGCTAAAGGGAATGCAAAATGGTACAGCCACTTTGGAAGACAGCTGGGCAGTTTCTTACAAAACCAAATATACACTTACCATGCAGTCCAGCGATTGTGCTCTTTGGTGTTTACCCAAAGGAGTTGAAAACAACCTGCCCAGATGTTTAGAGTAGCAACCAAGGGGATGTTTTGGGAAGCAATGAAGATACCCTTCAGTAGGTGAATGGATGAATTGCGCTACAGACAGACGATGGATTACCATTCCATGCTCCAAAGAAATGACTATAAGCCACAAAAAAGACATGGAGAAAACTTAAATGCATATTTCTAAGTGAAAGAATCCAATCTGAGAAGTCTACATACCATGATTGCAACTATATGATATTCTTTAAAAAAACAATTTTTTTAATGTTTACTTATTTTTGACAGAGAGAGAGACAGAGCATGAGCAGGGGTGAGGCAGAGAGAGAGGGAGACACAGAATCCGAAGCAGGCTCCAGGCTCCAAGCTGTCAGCAAAGAGCCCGACGTGGGGCTCGAACTCACAAACTGCGAGATCATGACCTGAGCCAAAGTCGGACGTTCAACCGACTGAGCCACACAGGCGTCTCTCAAATATAAGACAGTCTTAAAAAGACAAAACTATGGAGACCATGAAAGTTCAGTGGTTGTCAGAAAGCAGAGGTGGGGAGATGAATTAGACAGAACACAGAGGATCTTTAGGGCAATGAAAATACTCTATATAATGTTATAGTGATACATTATACATTTGTCCCAACCCAATGAATATACAATATGAAGAATGTATCCTCAGGTAAATTATAGACTGAGTAATTATGATGTGTTAACAAAGGTTCATCTTTGGTAGAAAAAAAAAAGTATCAATCTGGTAAGTGATGTCATTAATTGTGGGAGCATGGGGTATATGGGAATTTTTGTACTTTCCTCTCAATTGTAGTGTGAACCTAAAACTGCGCTTTAAAAAAAGGGGGGGCACCAGGGTGGCTCAGTCGGTTAGGGGCCCAACTTCAGCTCAGGTCATGATCTCATGGTTCATGAGTTCGAGCCCCACATTGGGCTCTGTGCTGACAGTATGGAGCCTGCTTAGGATTCTCTCTCTCCCTCTCTCTCTCTCTGCCCCTCCTCCACTCACTCTCTCAAAATAAGTAATGAATAAACTAAAATAAATAAATAAAATAAATAAATAAATAAATAAATAAATAAAGTCTATTTAAAAATGGAAGGAGGGGGGAAGGGCACAAGGACCAAAAGTCAGGGGACCTGAGTTCAAATTCTGCCACCACCTTTTACTTCCTGTAAGATAGTGGACAGTTCTCCAGGTCATTCTGTATGTTTCCTGCTCTGTAAAATAGTTACCGAATAGATCCTAAGAGACCCCTCGTAGGAAGGAAGAAGGGTAACATGGAGGCAGATAGAGGATGCAGGTTCAGCAGCAGGCAGCTAAAGGCAATGCCAGCTGACGGCTTCCATTTTCTCAGTAAAGTAAGACCCAAGATTAGAGTAGGAGGGGACGTGGAGGGACTAGAAGCACAGGGAGAGCAGAAAAGGTTTAAAATCACTGCTGCAAAAGTGGGAGAGGAGTACAGGGAGATCATCCTCACCAACGGGTAACTAGTAACTAAATAAAGAACTAACAGCTTTAAGAACGTTAAAGCTGTGTTGTACAGTTGTATGATTAGAACACAAATGATCTGTAAGAATGAATGTGCTCTTCAAATATAAAATAGGAAAAAATATACATATATATAAAATAGGATTATGATTGAAATTAGCAGCTAATGAAAGAATTCGCTTACCAGACATTTGCTTTGGATTTTCTAAAATGCAGATGGTCTGTTTCAGTGAGACCACGTTTTAGGACTAACTGTAAGTATTTTCACATGGATCATCACTAGGTCTGTACAATCTGGACTCATGGCTGGGTAGCATGGTCATGTAGTTAACTTGAGCATCATCAGGACCAAGCAATGGTTACATTTAACTCAACCTGGAAAAGGTAAGAGAAGTTATTTAAAAAAAGGGGGGGAAAAGGCAAGGTGGCATTTTCCTGGAGTCAACGAAGGAGAGTTGACATAGCAAGGGAATATGCAATTAAGGGATGACTTATGTGGGTGCCCTGAAAAGGGGGCAGTTCTCTGCCTAGGATGTAGACAAGATTATTACTAACGTTCTCTTTCTTCCCCACCTGGCAAGGCAGGGCCATATGAAGTGCCATCAGGCTTCCCTTCAATGACTCCAAGAGCTCACCTCTTCAGCCTTCATTTGCATCCCAGTAAAAACTTTGCCTGGCCTCCCAGCATCGGAGGAATTAACCTTAGTGGAAAAAATAAATTCTTCCTTCTCGTCCCACCTCTCAACAAGAATACCATAGCTGTTTCTTGTGAGCGCTGCAGTCTTGTTTGACAATATAATGAGATCTGGTTAAACAGATGAAAAATGCCTTAACCTGAGTGTTTATCTCAACCCCGCCAAAGCTTTCAGCCCCCCAGGCACTCCCTTCTCCGGAGGGAGGGTCAAGAACTTTTAGTTGCAGCCAGCCCGTGGCTCTGAGCTGGCGTCTTGCTACAGCAAGCCACTTTTGCAACAGCAGAAGGCAGGGGCTCCTGTCAGTTTGAATTTCCTGAAGTGCACTGGCCTGTGTCACGATCTCAGTGGTGTCTGAGGGCAGTTTGTTCCATCAGATCCCTGGAACAGAATGGGAAGAGGAAGGAGAAAGTGGGTGTTAAGAAAGTGGCAGAAGAGCAGGTTGGTAAGTGATACTCAACAGCGTTCATCTAGGGCTGGGCTGGATGTGTGGGGGCTGGGACCTCCCCCCTCCCCACCCCACCCCCTCCCCCAGCGAATACACCCCAGCACCTTCTCAAGGTTCTGGAGAACTGGGCAAGTGGCCTAGGCAGAGTCTATAATTCCCCTGACTCACTGGTCATTCCTTTACAAGTCAAGTCGACAAAGACCATAGCAAAAGGGAACTGAGAAATTATCCAAGTAATGTAAATAAATTATGTGGCCCAATCAGGACGGTTTTGAATGAAATTGCCATCCGTCATCTGAATACTCAGTGAGAGTATTACTCTGGCCCATCAGGTGATTTCCAACCCATCCACTTGGGGTCTTGCGCTCTAACCTGATCTTTATCTCCCTCTACAGTCTGGCACAGATCCTTAACGGTTACACACTGTGCTGTAGCTGTGTATTTACATGGATTTCCTCTATGTGATAGGGCTCCCTGAAAGCTAGGAATTGTGTCCTCCTGCACATCTTCGTTCCTAGAAGGTGCTCTATAAATAGGCGGCGGTTGAATTCACCGGTTCGTGAATGAATGGAAGAAGGCCATTTGAGAAAGAACACAAGAAGCTATGCCTTAAGGGTAGCACTTTGGGGGTCTCCGGAAACTACTGCAAGAACCAGGTTAGCATGCACCCTTACCCACCATACTCCACAAAAAGCGATTTCTTTCAACTCCGTACGATTGCCCCACGTGTTTCGGAGAGAAAGCAGCTTCCTCTCCACTTCCTGTTCTCGTGCTGGACAGCATTGCCATTTAGCTGCCTGTGCCTCCACCACTAGTTTCATAGGAGATGTTTAAGCAAGCTGTCTTTACCTGCAATTTATTTTCTTTTGCTGGTTCACTGTATTTTAGAACGTATTGCACTGTGGTCCGATCTAGTCTACTGTTACTGTTTATTTCCACGTAGACTCTAAGCTCCTTGAAGACAAGGAAGGGCCTTGAGTTTGTACCTACCACAGTGCTTGGCACGTGGTCAGTAGTCAATATGTGCAGAATAAATACATGCAAAATGTACTTGGGAATGAGCCTAAAGGGATCTAAGACGTGGACCTATAATTTATACCTGGCCTTGCCTCCCTCTGATGTGGATAACGTTGTTCTTTCCTACTCTTGATGATGCTGAACCCTGCAATCTAGACGTCGAGGAAAACCATAACCCTTACGTGCCTTTGTGTGAAACTGTTGGTGTGTGTGGATCTGTCTGGGGGTTTTGCTTTCTTTTCTTTTTTTTTTTTTAATTTTTTTTTCAACGTTTATTTATTTTTGGGACAGAGAGAGAGCATGAATGGGGGAGGGGCAGAGAGAGAGGGAGACACAGAATCGGAAACAGGCTTCAGGCTCTGAGCCATCAGCCCAGAGCCCGATGGGGATTTTGCTTTCTTTTCTAAGTGCGTATGAGTGAAACGAACACCAAATAGTCTGGATTGCACAAACTGCCTTCCCCAAATGGTAGTCTGCCCAGCATCCAACGAAGTCAGATCTTAAAAATAAAAGGAGAGCCTTTGGTGGAGAACGTGATGCAGTAAAGAGAGGAGGGAAACTGAACAGTGGAGCTGAACAGGGCACAAGGCAAAGCTGGCAGGAACAAAGGAGATGTTGTCACTATTTTCCCCTTCAGATTGTTTCCACAAGGTTAGAACTGAAATAGAGCTGCATGTTCCTCCGAAAATTAAGATGTCCCTTTTAAAAATGATCTCTCCAGTTATCTTCAGGGCAGCCTGTGTCCCGAGGATCGTTAACCTTCTGCCCTCCATCCCTAACCCAGGGGCTCTGGGGGTATCTGTCTAAGAGACCGGCTTCCAGAGGGGGTCAGTATTCCCTCTTAAGAGCCCCCAGAGCAAATGACTGAACAGATTAGGACGGATTAGACAGATAACAACTCAGACCCTTTTACAAGCACATTTTTCACTCGACACTCAAATTCCCTTCTGTGCCCCCACGGTGTCACACAACCCAACGACCGGATAGTATTACTGAAATATCTTTGCGCCAGCCGAGTGCGTGGAACTGTGCAAAGCCAGATGTTCCTGTAACCCTGTTTTACTGAGTTATTTATATCCATATAATATTTGACATTTCCTGTGTTGTTAAAGAGTTGGGGGCCTTGACGTATTTTTAAGAGAACAGTGCCGACTTTTTATTTTTTTCTTTGATGCCCAGCACCAGAAATAAGTAATAGAGGAGAAGGGCTGAATTAAACAGATGCTTAGATATCTAAAGTCTACCTTATTTTAATGCCTTTCATCTTAAATGATCTTCATGAACAGCAAAATGCTAGAGTCATCTAGACCCGAGCGTATGAATTTTTAAGCCTACCATGCAATAAAAGCACATGCCCATGGGCCTAAAATAAGTCAGCCAATAGACAAAAAATTTTAATAAATATTGAAACTATAGTCCACATTTCTGGGACTAAACTTTATGGAGAATTGATACAAAAATTATACCATCCCTTTGAACTTGATAGAT